ACATTTTATTATTTCTATCAAAGAGCTTAACAATCTGAAGTTTAGAGTAATTTGTTCGAGGTCTCAGTTGTGGCAAACCTAGGATAGAGAAATTACTTAAGGGAATTTGACTAAAATCCATTTTATAAACTTATAATACTACACTGTTACCTTTATGCAGTCAATTTCCAATTTGCAGATAAGGCAACTGAGGCCCAAATTACTAAATGATGAAGTAACACCTATTTTTTTAAAATTGAATGGCCATTATTAGCACTGGAAACTGACTTCTAGGTTCTGTTTGTTTTTGTTACCACAGCTACCTTCTCAAGTAACAACCTGTTGGTACACTCTAGCCATTCTTATTTTCAGAACAGCAAGTGTTTAAAAGGACTCTTTAAGGAGTATTTACTACTAGCACAATTTTAAAATAACATTGAAAAAGCAGAACATACTGACTGGTGTCATCTTCCCAAGAATTTAGGAATAACTTAAGTGGAATCAGGTTTATTTCACATGCTGATATATAGTATATTTAGCTTTGTTTCCATTTTATTTTCATTCATTCTTGATATTGCTACATAAGAGTTATAGAACTACTATATCAAACAAAATATTTTTCAAGCATGTTACTTGAAATTAAGAATATAGTATCATTCATATATATTATTTTTTCATATTATGATATGCAAACTTCATCTACTATTTCTTCTACATAAAATTGGGCTTTAAGTAAGTCACGGGTCATGGTAAATGTCTTATGAACTTATTTTTATGAACCATTCTTTTTATTTTATGTTGGTTCACATATGTTCTATGAAATACTTAGTGGGGCTGGGTGTGGTGGCTCACGCCTGTAATCCCAGTAATTTGGGAGGCCAAAGTGAGCATCACCTAAGGTGAGGAGTTTGAGATCAACCTGGCTAATAAGTGGAAACCCCATCAATACTAAGAATACAAAAATTAGCTGGATATGGTGATGCACACGTGTAATCCCAGCCACTCAGGAGGCTGAGGCAGGAGAATGGCTTGAACCTGCGAGATGGAGGTTTTAATACGCAGAGATCATGGCCACTGCTATCCAGCTTGGGCAACAAGAGTGAAACTCTGCCTCAAAAAAAGAAATATTCAATGGACAAGTTAAAAAACACTTATATTAATGGCATGTCAAAACATTTCCTGTGAAAGAATTGATTTGTATCCTTAAGACTGCACACATTTTTTTCTTGACTATTCATCTGATCCGAAAATTCAATGCTTTTATAAATACAAGTTAAATACATATTTTGGAATAAATTATCCTGAGTTGCTGATATTTCCCTCACTCATGAGAATTAGTTAAAAATCAGGAAAATAAATGAACATCATGATTTAGCTTTAAGGGAATTCATTACTCAATATTCCCTTTTTCAAAGGATTTTGAAAGTGTATGCTTCTGTTACATAAAAATTTTTAAGACCAGCTTAAAATTACAGACCTTAAGTGAATTAGGTTATTGCTTTAAGGGCCCCATAATTGAAAGCTAACTATCTAAGGTCAGTGCTTAAGATCTCTGCAATACTTATTCATTCTTATTCTTGTGCTTACTCTTAACAGCTTTTGATGTGTGCTAATAATCTCTTTGTTTCACATTAGTAGACAAAATGTGTTCATGTAGTTTGTGTATGTAAGCTCCTTGAGAACATAGATATTTTTTCCTATAACTGCTGGATTTCTGTTGCTTGAGTTGGTGCCTGATACATACTAATTGATCAATTAAAAATTGCAAACAAATTCAAGCTTATTAAATCCTGAAGGCTCTTACAGTATCTGGTCTTGATGTGATTTTGAAGGAAAAAAAAAATATATCCTTTCTTTTATACTTAGATCTTTAGATCCCTTTAGGTTTTTTAAAGCTCTATGTAGCTTATGGATCTCATAAAATGTGAAAAAAAAAAAAAAAAAGATGTACAAAAGTCAAATGTTAGTATACATTCGTGAATATTATCTTTTAAAATATCAGTTCAACACACTAAATTCATTTATAAAAAAGAAAGAATTCCTGAATGCTATTTGTTTAGAAGATAAAAACAGCTTCTCAGCCTTTTGTTGAACAAGATACAAAGTTTGTTGAAGTGGAGACTATAAAATGATTTATGTTTGATTACTTTTGATCATTACACTATTGTGTATCATACTGTCTTATTTGATTTTTAGGAAAATATCTTGAGGAATATCCTCCTAATCCTATTTTAAAGTTAAATGAGTTTAAGTACTTTGTTTAGAATAATATAGCTAGTAGGTGGCAAATTCAGGACTGTGTCCAAAGCCTTTCCTCTTTCCTGCCTTATATATACAAGAAATATGGTACAAGTGTTACAGATCAGTTTCATGAAATAAGTCTCTAAGGACAAAGTGTGATTTTTTTTTTAACTTAGCTGTATTTTAAAAATGAAGTATGTAGGTTTCTTGTTACTGTGCCTGGAAACACAAAAGGCATTGCATGATACAGTGTTTTTCACACATTTGAGAAAGCATCGAAGGGTTCTGAGCAAGGTAATGATGGGATAGTTTTGACAGTACTTATCTAAATGACAAACCAGCTCTAGGGTAGAGGTGCAGAGAATAAAGGGAGGCTATTGCAGTAGTCTAGGCAAGAGATGATGACTGCTTGGACCAGAAATCTTTGGACCTTATTTTTTAGGTTCCTTTGCTAGTTCTTCCTGGGAATGGTGAAAAGCAGTTGAATTTGGAATGAATTTTGAAAGTAGAGCCAACAGATTTTCTGAATGATTGGCTTTGTGGAGAGGGAGGGAGGGAGGAAGGAGAGAATAAAGGCAAGGAAAAGGGCGAAAGAAAATTAAGGGCAGAGACACAAAGGTAATTCGAGGATTTTTGCGTAAACAACTGGAAAAATTTAATTACCTTCTCCTGAGTTAGGGGAGAATGGGAGAGAAGCAGATTCTGGGATAGAAATGGAGGCATATCAGGGGTTTCATTTTAGCCGTTTTTAGATTTCCCATATATCAGACTAGATACAGACATGATATTAAAGCCATGAGATTGGATGAGAACGCCTGGGAAGGCTGAGTAGAGGGAATAGGCCTAAGCCTGTGGAGCGCTGACATGCTCCAGAGTCTAGAAGGTAGTAAGGAAACGGCCTCCTCCATTCTGAGGGGGAAGACCTAATGAGGTAGGATCATCCTCAAGATTGGGATCCTGCAAGTCAAGTGAAGCAAACATTACAAAAAGAGAGTGGTCAGATGCAGCTGATTTTTCAGGCAGGTTAAATCCAATAAATTGAGATATGACCATAGAATTTGGTAATGGGGAATTCCATTGATGACCTTGAGAAAAGATTGATCAGAGAGGATTCTGTTACTGAAAGCAAACAGAAAAGGTTATAAACCACTTACCTAGAAGATGTCTGAAGTTATTCTCTAAATTTGTGATTCTCTTGGAGACAAACTATCTTGCAGTTGTTATGTAAATTTGGGCATATTATTCCTGTACTATTAAATTCGGATATGTTAGTTACATAATGTTGATTTTTATTACTTTAATTGTTAACATTTAATTTTCTGATTGCCAAGTAAAGTTTTTACAGTTTTACTTGAGGTTCCTCCTGTGTTTTGCTAAGTTGTTTTTATATGGTGGAAAGGGCATGCATACCTATATGAACATTCCTAGGTTTCAGTCCAAACTTCACAAATTACTAGTTATACAATCTTGAACAAGTTAGTTAAATTTCTGTCTCAGTTTCCTCATTTGGAAGATGACAGGTAATAACTACTTTATGTGATTGTTAATCAACAGTGGACTGGATAAAGAAAATGTGGTACATATTCATCATGGATTACTACACAGCCATAAAAATGAAATCATGTCCTTTGTAGCAACATGGGTGCAGCTGGAGGGCATGATGCTAAGCTGATTAATGCAGTAACAGAAAACCAAATACCCCATCTTCTCACTTGTAAGTGGGAGCTAAACATTGAGTACACATAGACAGTGAGGAGAACAGTAGACCCTGGGGCTTACTTGAGGATGGAGGGTGGGATGAAAGTGAGGATTGGAGAACTACCTGTCAGGTACTTTGCTCACACTACCTGGGTGACAAAATCATTTGTACACCAAACCTTAGCAACATGCAATTTACCCATGTAACAAATTTGCACATGTACCCTCTGAACAAGATGGAAGAAAAAAAAAAGATACCTTGAGAAAACTATCTGAATTGTATGATACAGTTATGCATCATAAATGATGTAAAAGTTGAGGCACTGATTTAATAAGGTGTTAGATTCTTTTCTCCAGTATTTTTTTTATAAACAGAAAACCAAGGCAAGGACATTTATTTAAAACGATTGCATAGCAACCGATATTCATAAGAGAGATTAACAGCAGAAATAGTCATGGGAATCAATTTAGAAGCAAAATAATCTAAATGGAGATTTATGTTAGATTTTCTATAATCAGCTGGTATGAACCATATACTTAATAGGGTAAAAACAATTTTAAAAATTATGTTTTGAAAAAATTTAAATGCTGTAGTGAAATGGGTACATTTAGAAAGCTGACTCCTTATTTTAAAAACTTTGATAATGTAGAAAGTAGGGATTAGATATTTGATCATTTCTAACTTATTTTAAAGGATGAAAAATCATAAAAATGTTTTGTTCTAATTTATATGTTATGCTTTTAATTGTAGTTTTGCAATAACTCTATAGGGATCATTATATTTTATGTGTGAATGTTTGTGATAAATCCTTTAACAACTTAAATTTATTTTTGATAACTAAGTTGCTGCCTACAGTTTACAGTATCATCAACCAACATTGCCATCTATTTGCATTTAACTAATTATTTAAAATAATTGTTAATAGGGACTTAATTAGTAGAAAGTAATAAAAATTGAAGTAGTAGAAATCTAATTAGATTTTTCCATTGTTTATCTTCATGACATAAAACTTGAAAACAATTATGTGGCTTTCTCAAATTGTAATTTTTGTTTTTTTTTTGTTTTTTGTCTTTCTTAATAGAGCTACATTCATGGAAGCAGCCAGGCTCAGTTTGTGGCAGAGTCACACATTATTCTGGTACTGAGTATCCTTTTTAAAATACTGATGAATTGAAAAGGGCAAGACAAAGCTACATGTTATTAAATTGACATTTGTTCCTGGCAGTAAATATCAAGACTTTTAAAAGACATTAAATTTTAAGCTGTACTATATGACTATTTTTTACTTTTATGCTAATTATTTCCTATTACAGTATAATTTGTTGCTATTAAGTATCATTAACAGATCATAATTTACTTTTTTACTGTTGAATTTCAGAGTCTTAGTTTTACTCTACATTGATGATCTCTGACTAGATTTTTTTGTGAAAGTTATATAATATTTCCCCTACAGCATCTTAATGGGAAGAAAAAGTGCCTTATGGTATTAATAGCAACTTAATAAAGGGATTATCATCATATTGGTCCCTGTAAGTAATGATATGTCAGAAGGAGGAGATTTAGGGTGGTTCAACATGCGTTTTTGGAACATAACAGACTAAATCAGAATAAGTTTTGTGAATCAGATTATACAATATAATTTATGATTTGAAGTTAGAAGGATCAAGAATGTAACAGGATAAGAAAAAGGTAAGGTTCAAGCATCTAATCTGAATGTTCTTAGAATGAGATAAAATTAGTTTGGACGCACTATTTTGGGCAAATATAGATGTTTGTGTGAGTCTTATGAAAATGTTTGAAATTTAAGTTCATAGTGGTGCTTGAACATAGTGAGTCATAAGAATTCAAAGTGTGCCTCTAGTAATCTTTATAAAATTTGATTAGTATCCTGGTTACTAAGATTCATATGCAAATGAAGGAGTCTAAACCAAATTCTCCAGTACAGTATATAACCAAAGCTGTAGACCTTTAAGTATCTTAAAATTCCTCTAGGCCAAACTTCATTTTATATATAGGAAAACTAGAGCCTATGTTAGGGAAGCCCACTTGAGCTAGAATTAGAATTCAGTTTTCTTTCTCATGGTCTATTGATTATGCAAGTACATAAGTTTTATGTACAATACTTGATTATGGTCTGTGACATATTTGATGAATGAATGTTAGTCATGGCTATTCTTTCCAATCTAGATGAAAAATACTATATCTTTAACAACATTGAAGTTTTGGATTTTATTACTTTGTTGTGTCATAACAGTGCTTTTTAAAAAATCTGCCAGCAAAGAGAACTTCGGTTTATTTAGGCATCCTGTTTTATTTGCTTACTGTGTTTTAAGCACTGCATCAAGTGGTGGTGTATACTGATTACTGTATGGTAGGGAAAAGGGATGAGAAATGTTTAAAGCACTTGGAATTCCCAAGAAGCTCAAAGACTTCCTGTTTTGTAAAATCAGTATTAGCAATACTAACCACATGACATTTCTTTTTGAGGAAAATGAGATAGCACACATTAAGCATCCAGTAATCACAAAAGGCTAGTTGGTTTATTCCTCTCTGTATTTCCCTTCTTTCTTCTTCAGGAGTTTGGTGGCCACAGGTAACATGCATAAATACATATATATTGGATGATTCCTTAGTGATACGGTTTGGCTCTGTGTCCCCACCCAAATCTCAGCTCGAATTGTAATAATCCCCAAGTGTCATGGGAGAGACCTAGTGGGGGTAATTGAATTATGGGTGTGGGTTCTTCCTATGCTGTTCTCATGATAGTAAGTCTCACGAGATCTGATGGTATTATAAAAGGGCATTCCTCTGCACATGCTCTCTCTTGCCTGCTGCCCTGTAAATTGTGCCTTTTGCCTTCTGCCATGATTGTGAGGCCTCCCCAGCAATGTGGAACTGTGAGTCCATTAAACCTTTTTTTCCCTTATAAATTACCCAGGGTCATGTATGTCTTTATTAGCAGTCTGAGAACTAATACACCTAGTTTTTGACAAAGGTGTAGATGACCATGAAAAAAAATCTCCTAATGAAATTTATCAGAATTCTAAAACTTGAACTGTTAACATTGAAAATACTTAATTTTTCTAAAGTTAATTTTTTACACACATTAAATTGTAAAACTTAAAATAGAAAGGCAGTGTTTTTCAAAGTTTCATGAAAATGAAGGAAATGAAGTTGAAAAGAAAAAGATTATAAATCTCATTTATATAGCAGGACAACTAAAAAATACCTTTCTGAAACTCATTGAACAACATTGACTGTCTTCTTCCATTTCTCAACATTTTTATTTCTTCTACCCTTGATTACACATACTTGGATACATACATGAGATTGGGCATATCCGCAGCCCATTTCTTGCTTACATTTATTTAGTTGCATGTATGCTTTGTGATTTCAAAATTAAGAAACTACTGTGAGAAGTACTTCCCTTGCTCTAGTTTGTCTCATAGATTGGAATTGGAAATACCTGTATTTTAGTAAACATTCTCAAATTTTGTTATATTTTTCCACAAATCAGTTTTTGCCCTCCAGCTTTAATATGGTAAAAGATTAATGCTTTCTGCATATGAGAGGGGTCTTTGGTGAGAAAATGAAGTATTTGTGAATGTTTATAGGCATATCTACTCCGTATTAACAAGAGTAAAGTTGTATTTACTCTCAACTTATTAAAGATATTCAGGAAGCAAAATATGTTAACATTAAAGCAAATGGATAGAAACCTAAAGCATTCGCTAAGATAAGTTTTTAACTCTTGGTTTTTTTCCTAACTTGTTTCAATCCCTGGTGTAGCATTATACTTTTAGCAGTATACTTTATCTAAAGTGATGAGTTTATTGAAACACATCAGGAATACCGAGCATAAGGATGAAAAGCTGTGTTAAGATCATCATTTTATTGTATGGCAGGAATTCTCCAAGGTTTCATTGACATCAAGCCGAGATTTAGGATTCAAAGAAATTTTACAAGAAGTGTGATTTTTTTCATATAGATCTTAGCAGTGATACATAAAAGAATTAAAAATTCCTAATCTTTTTATGCCAGTAGTCATTATTTGTTGCTTGTTTCTCCTGTGTTTTTATTTTAGACATATCTGTTACAAAGAAAGAGAAAAATTCTTTTAAAATGGTGGACTCATTAATATTATCAGTAGAACTTCAAAAGAAGTCCAGGCAGAGAGGTTCATGCCTGTATCCCAGCACTTTTGCAAGCTGAGGCAGGAGGATCACTTGAACCCAGGAGTTTGAGACGAGCCTGGGCAACAGTAGGGAGAACCCTGTCTCTACAAAAAATTTTAAAAGTAGCCAGATGTGAGTGATGGCATACACCTCTGGTTCTAGCTACTTGGGAGGCTGATGCAGGACAATCACTTGACCCTGGGAGGTCAAGGCTACAGTGAGCTGTGATCACACACTACACCCCAATCTGGGCAACAGAGTGAGTGAGACACTCTCAAAAAAAAAAAAAAAAATTGAAGTTATTTTTCCGTAATTTCTGATTCTAGTTTCATTTAACAGGCTACTACTACTTTGTGAACAGTCCACATTTTCTTTGTAATTTTTGTGTGTATTTTTTTCTTTATGCAAAAAATTACAAATACCAGATTATTACTTGTATCTGTAGGGAGAACATTTCTATCTTTTGGATGTCACATCCTAATTTAGTAATTTAGATTGTTAGATGCAGTTGCTATATACAAAGTTTTGTTGGAAAAAAACCTAAGAGAAAACAGGTGGACTCATATTGTATCATGGATTATAGATTTTTATTTACTAAGAATAAAATTGTCTCCTTATCAGTAGTGTTACATTTTTGGTACCTTATTTAAGAAAAAAAAAGAATAATCCTTAATAGTCTTTGAGAGAAAACTATATGAAACAGTCAGAAATAGTATTTTAATACAGAATATATGTGAACCATCCAACAATAACCTACAAAGGGCTTTATATTCTTGCATGTTTAAAATTTTACTTTTATTTCATTTATTTTTCCTTTTTTAATGTTTTGAACACCTAATGCAAATGTGAACGAGGTATTTGCTGTTTACAGAAAGGTGGGATGACAGAAAAATACTTACAATACAGTGAGACCAATATATGCAAAGGAAATAGCAAGAGAGGAGCTAACTCCCTATCTAGAGAAGTGGAACTGACTTTTCAAATGGATTTTGAAGTCTAAAAAGGAGTTTCAGAGACAGAGAAATGAGTGAGGAGGTTATGTCAGTAGAAGATACAACAGATACACAATCATAAAATGAGAGATAGTACTCTTTATTGCAGGAAGACAGGAAATTCATTAAGGCTGGAATACAAATCGTGAGAAGACTGGTGAAAGTTTGGTTAGGCTGGATAATGAAAACCTTCCTAAGAAATTTGAATTTTACCTACAGGTAGTAGATGCAGTACAGTTGATACGTCAGTTTTACATATTTGGCATTGGGTAACTTATGGATTCTTTCTGAAGTGTTTTGAGATTCAGCCCCTAATGTCTTCCTGATAAATTTGTCTGTGGAAAGGGAAGTAGTGGCATGTGTATCTCATGACTGTTTAGGCAACAGAAAGCCAATGGAGGTTTGCTCCAGGAACAATATTAAGGATAGGATAGAGAAGAGAGAGCAAAGGAAGCAGGAGTCACTGGTAATGGTTCATTCTCTAGGATGAACCTAAGTCAGGTAATGGATGAGTGATTCAGCTGCTATTTGAGAGGAAGAAGACTCAAAATCGATGATAAATATCACAAGTAAGGTTCAAGAACAGGAATCAGAGATGATTCAGAAGTTCTCTTGTGGGTTGTGGGATAGAAATATGGAGGAAAACAAAGTTTGGAGAGGAATGTTTAGCTTAAAAAAGTTTCTACGATTGATTAGACCTCATAATTGGTTGATGAGAAAGGGATTAGTTTGCTTAAATTGCTTAAGATCATAAAGCCAATCAGTTGAAGAGTCAAGAGCTTGAAACTATTAACCCATTGTTTTTCCACTTAGTAATGTTTTCCCAATAAATCAAAATCTCTGTGGTGAATAGCCAGTAATATTCTCACCGAATTATATATTGTGTATATTTGTTATATAAATCTGAAAAGGTCATTTTAATAAAGATATAGTGGATATGTTGATAATTCTTTAGTTATTCTATCATATGTTTGTACA